ATGGAGGCTGCGACTCCGAAAGGGGGAATCGGAAATTCTCTTTCCCTCGCCCATGCTGCATTCTTCAGATTCGAGTCATATACGAATACGGCGTGACCTCTGGTGGAGCGAACGCCAGCGGGGGCGAGAGACTACAAGGCAGAGTGACGACTCTAACTCTCGCTCGGTCATCATACGACGTGTATCAAAACGCAGAGTGAAATCATTTAATGTATGCACGACAGTGAACAATGGGATTACTTTCTGGAAAAATCCAGTCTGTCCGACATATTGGCTGAACGTGTGATAAGGTTACCTAGGCCCACCCACCTCAGCAGATTGACTTCACCTAGGCTCATCAAAGTAATGCTTTTTGATGAAGGGATGAAATATCACTTTCTACAGGGATGGCGCAGAGCCAAACAAATCTTCTCCACCGAGCGAGTGCCACGAGAGCTGAGAGTAGAGAGTGGCTGTAATGACGCTCTCTTCCATCAGTAGTGACATGCCGGCGCTAAACATATCTCCTATTCGGGACCCTGAAAGGCGCTTCACCAGGTGCGTGGTTCAAAATTCTGTCGTGGTGCAAAAAGTTCTCAGAAATCAAAATAGTCTCGCTAGAACGAAAGCGGAGTACATATCTACCTGCTTGTTACAGGCCGTTACGGATTGTGAAAACTTTTCAAACAAACATTTTGGTAATTCTGCGTGCTGCATCTTGTGGTTATCCTACGACTAACGCACTTTTTGTAGAATTTAAGTTCTCGATCGTAGACACTGAACTTTCTTCGTAACAGTAAGCCTGGAAGAAAGTCAAAAGTAGAATTCTGCGGTGCGCAGAAATGTAAAACGTCAGTCTCCAGCAGCATACAGTGCAATTGTTGTGGTTACTGGTATCACCCGGGCTGTGCCCACCTAGACAAAAGAGCGTATGAAATATACTCGAGTAATTCAGGGTTCCAGTGGATGTGTTACCTGTGCGTAGCCATGGCAGAGAAAACAACCCGAAAGCACACCAATAAGGCACCCGAACCTAGCAGTACCGCCAACCGAGACTACAACACTCATCTCGACCAGAAGTAATCGGTCAAACGCCTAGAGCAGAGGATTGCTAGCCTCGAGAACGAGTTGTCTGAATTGAAACGCGCAAAAGAACTGACGACGGGCCGAAACAAAAGTGTCCTCATTATGAACCACGAGGAACTGGTCATAGGAGACTCGAAGGTCCGGGCGGATATTGACGGTCGAAGAGTCCGGGATATCCTTTGAACTACAGGTTTACTCGTGTATGCACTCATAAATGGGTTACAGAGGATTGGGAGATAGAGAGAAGAATGCTCACCTGATGCCAGGGTTGCTAGACTCATTCTATCTGAGTTCGGAAATCCCAATAGTAGGGATATGCTACTATGCGGTAGTGAAAAAATAAAACGAGCTACTACGGGTAGATACCGAATAGTACCGGATGACCTAAATCGCCTGACTAAACAACCCCTGATGGACGTTCATCTAAAAGTGGATCAGCCGCAACTAGGGAAACGGGCACCCATAAAGAGTGGTCCACAAGGTGTTCGAACCCACGCCTTGCTAAAGGTTCAAAGACTACAAGGTGGGCAGCGAGTTCCGAGTTATACTGAGTTCGTTTTATCCACTCCACGCCGAGGCAACCCTCAAAATGTTATCGAGCTCATCAGCCCTGGGCATCACATGGCAAATGAAAAAATACTACCGAGAGCGCCGAAAATAAACTTCAAACAACAGATTCGACAACCGAATCCGCTATCTGTACCACCATTATCCTGCAGTAAGGGGGGTAAAAGACAGATAAAACAGCACCGGGGTAAACCAAGAGCGAACAAGCGGACGAACAAAAACGCGGCCGCGGGGATAAAAACAACGCCGTTAAAGGAGATTTTGACCGTAGATATGACTATAACTATGACCCCTGTCACCACATTGAGGTGTGCGCAAACCCCCGAAAATAAGAGGCCAAGGGATGATATAAGAAAGCCGGGGGTAGGAGCCTCGTTGTTACTAAACGATGCCTCCTTTCAACCTGATATGAACGAACCGGAATTGGACTGTGAGAAAACAGTCATCGACAGGATGGCTCAGCCAAAAAGTAATCCCTGTGAGGATTCGCGGCGAAACGAAACCAGTGCGGTAGAAGACGTGCGGGGCCCTCGGGTGCTACGCCCAAGGGGGCACTCATGAAGAAAATGGCCTAAACACAGAGGCCCCAGCACTGCGACAAAGAAGTTTAAAAACGTGGTATACAAACGTCTGCAGTGTTGGAAATAAGTGGAGAGAACTGAAAGCCAGATGCCCAGAATATGACGTAGTCATTCTGACCGAAACATGGTTGCCTCCAAGACACGTCATAGATCACCTCATCCCTCCGAACTTTGCTGTGTATAGGACAGACCGAGAGGTAGTTAAAGGAGTGTTGATTCTCGTAAAGAATCAATATGCTCAACGGGAAACCGCTGAACTGAGACTGTACACCCCCACTGTGCAAGCAGCTGGATGCACTATTCGGAACTGGGGACAACACTTCGCCATCCTTGGAGTCTTAAGAGCACCCTCGACTAGATCAAAAGAGAACAGACAGCTGGTAAACACACTAAGCACGTTACTCAGGAAATCCACGAAAACCATCGTAGTTGGCGATTTGAACCGAAATAGATCGAAAATAAGCTGACGCGGGAAATAATCCCTCCAAATAGGATTTCCTAAGTTTTTCCACGATCAGGCACTTTATCAACATGTTCGACAACCAACTCGATTCCGATAGGGGCAGAGATCGTCCATTTTTGATCTAGTGCTTACCCGGGCGGAGAATAACGTTAGTGAAGTGACTATGGAAGTCCCGCTGGGCAAGAGCAATCATAGTGTAATCACGTTTAGGACGTGCGTAAATCAGGAAAAGCCCCCCTCCAAATTCATCAGGAACTTCGGTCGAATGAATGTGGCCTACTTCAAGAGGCTAGTTCAACCATTTGATGGTCGCCCAAAGAAGACACATTTGTTGAGGAGGAATGGGACGTATTTTGAGAACGCCTAGTAGAGCTCACTGACAAGTACGTGCCATTGCAATTGAAGAGGAATTCTCAAGACCCTGCATGGTGGACAACTCCCATAAAGGGAGCGATAACTTTCAGGGGGCGTGAATGGAGGGACTATGCAAACTTCGGAGGGCAGCATTGGTGGTTGGCCTACAAGGTGGCCCATAATTACGCAAACAAGCTTATGAAACAAGCTAAAATGAAACATGAATTGAGGATCGCTCAGCAAGCTAAAACCAATCCCAAAAGGTTTTACGCGTATGTACAATCGAAGGCTGCCCTTGGGCAATCGGTTGGGTCCTACGAGATGACGCAGGGGAAGAAGTGCCGTCAGAGGCGGAGAGGTACGAGATACTCAGCTTTTTGAAAGCGTCTATAAAATGGATGATGGGTGCAGTTACCCCTCGCATCTGTCACAAGTACGAGCTCCTCCAATGAGCGATCTACAGGTAGACAAAGCTCAAGTTCTGAAGATACTCACTGAAATAAAATCTGGCAAATCAGCAGGGAGTGATGGACATCATCAGGCCTAGACCTAAACCCGTCAAAGTGTCACATATTGAACACTGACAGCGGTCCAATTAGTGTAAGCACGGATTCGGAAACCACCGAACTAACGCGCGTAACCCAAACGAAGGACTTAGGGATACTAGTTTCCGAAAATTACAAGCCAGGCGAACAATGTAAAGCCGCAGCACAAAAGGCGAGAAGTCAACTATTCCAGTTAAGAAATACAATGACCACTCGAAAGGCAGAAGTCTTTATCCCACTTTCTAAGGTACTGGTGAGACCCCACCTAGAATACTGTGTCCAGGCTTGGGCACTCTACCTTCAGAAGGACATCCAGTGCATCGAGAAGGTTCAAAGTTTAGCCATTCGGATGGTCTCGGGCATGAGGGGCAAATCATATGAAGAAAGGCTTGTAGCTTTTATATGGAAAGAAGACGCCTTAGGGGTGACCTCACAGAAACATGTAAGATAATGAAAGGATTCACTACCGTAAGCGCCGAAAGTTTATCCACTCGAACGCCCGTAGAGATCACCAGCGGACAGTTTAAAGCTCTTGAAACCAAGGGCTCGCCTCGGTGTGCGGTGTAACTTATACAAGAACCGAATGGTTGATAGATAGAATCAGCCAACATCGCAACTGATGGAATGTGCGACTGTAGTCGACTTCAAGAGGCAGTTAGACATGGTTTGGGCCCAACTATACCCAGAGGTAGTATAGCAGCAAGGTCTGAGGTTGTTTAGAGTTGACATTTTTCTTGTTTCCTAACTAATCGCCCTTACAGATATCGTACTGGAACCAGTTCCCTGCCGAAAAACATTTGCAGGACAGCGACAGAAATGAGTTTGAAGCTTTGAAAGAAGAAACCTTCCTACCGAAGCAAGAATCTGGACGCTTGGTTGGCGAAAGCCTTTTTCGTCCTGTGATACTTGACCTGACCTCAGCCATAACTCCAAAAGGAATACTTAAAAAACGATAAGTATCCGGTCTTTTAGAGGCCAGGTTCAGTCGACCACAGAACAAAACAGTGAAACCAGCGTTTACCTTCCAAACAGAGTCAACACGCTGCGTATAAACCAAAGAACAGAGCCGCATGAATAAAATCCCAGAGTTACAAACCTTGGCTTCGGTCGGAAATCCTGGTATCATATGTATATGTGAAATATGTTTACACGAAGGGGTTCATGACGCAGAAATATATCTCCCTGTAATGCACAGCTACAGGATTTATCCTTTACTTAGCCCAACATTTGCATCCCCGGCAGGTGACTGATCCACAACTGAACGGCTGCCCAGAATCAGGGTGGGTTTCCTTCAAACCTGAAGGTTGCACAGCAAATTTGGTGGGAGTAGTCTACAGGCTGCCGAACTCAACAGTCCCAGAAGGCGACTGCGTATTGTTGTCTATCAATGGAGCTATTGAACTTAGACATGTGAACATACTGAACATGGGAGATTTCAATCTCCCGTCCATCGATTTTGCGGCCCACAACGTCGCCGGTCTAGCGGAGTCCATGCAGACCCGCTTTCTTTGGCAATGGACCGAACTAGGACTAGTGGAGCACGTGCAACGACCCATCAGGTTGAATTCCGAAGGAGTCTCATCCATGCTCGATTACGTCCTTGCTAACGATCCGCTGCTAGTGGACGATATAGAGATACTGAATCCACTAGGAAAAAGGGACCATGCTATGATCATCTTCAAGTTCCTAGTGTGCACCACTAAAAAGCTTGGCCAGTTACTCTCAAGGCGGAACGTCTACACGGTAGATTATGAGGAATTTAACAAAGCTTTAGCAGCACCCCCCGGGACGGAACAACCAGGTGAGGCGTCAGCTGATGACTTATAGCGCAGAATCCTAAACAATCTACAACTAGCCATCCACGACCTAGTTCCTGTGCGCAAAGTCAAACCCAAAAATGGGAAAAGAACTTGAATTAGGAGCAGGAATAAGAAGCTGATCAACTTAAAGCGATCATCATGGAATAGATACCAGTTGACTGAAACGCCTAAAAACTTCGAGTCTTACAAGATGCTCAAAAACCGCTGCACCACACTACAACGTGAGGACGGAAGGCTCTGCCAGCTCCAGCTATGCGAGAAAGCAAAGGAATATCCTAAATTGCTCTATCAACACAGTCCGTTTTAACGCGGACTTGAGTCATTTTGTTGAGTATTTTTTCCAAGGTTTTGCAATTTGAGGTGTTTTTTCTATATATTGCTTTTCCCGTACGATGCGTGATCTGTACTCATTGTTACTCAACAACCATGGCACAGTATCCTGATACGTGTGGAGCCAGTGGTTATGGCAGAGCGGCTAGTAGTGGTATCTAGTGTAATAGATGTGGCTTGTGGCACCAAGAAAAATGTTCCAAGATGTCGAAGCAGTGCTATGCGCTGCACCTTCAACATGGAAAATTGAAGTGGATATGCTCACACTGCGAGGCTCTGATAGAGGAATGTTCATGCATTCTGAAAGGAGCCTTGGTAGGGACTGTGACCACCAAGTCACCACCAACCCTAATACTCGCGCGCCGAGACCAGCAACGAAGCAGGTGGAGGCGGTGAATCTTAGCTTTAAACATCCAATGAAGGACAGAAATGGAAAGAAAAAAATCACGAGTACAAAGGGAAAGAAACCACGAAAAGGGGCTACGGTCAAACCGTTGCAGTCGATAGAATTGACTGCGTGTATAGAACAGTTGGAGAAAGATCTCCGAGGACTGCAACGCAGTACTCCAGCGCTACTGGGTTGAACGGGAAACGTCTTGCTGCATTACTTTGCGAGGCCAAAGATTTGCGATACTAAAGCGCGAAAACAGGTGGATCGCAAACACGTTCAAGATGTTTTCCAACTGTCGGGTATACCGGCCAATACGCCCTATATTAAGTTCCACAGGGTTGAGTTGTGGAGGCAGAACCAGACAACCAGACACAGGTCTATACTAGTAGTATTTTACAGCACATACAGCCGGAACCTTCTGCTCTCTAGGGTTGTTGCAGTGGAGATGAACACCAGGAAGTGCATGAAAGTTACCCCTGATACAGTTCATCACGCCCAGCGGGGCGTTATCCCCATTGTTCCTGCAACATTATTAATGTAACAAAAGAAGCCCGGAGTTATTATGCGCAAACTAAACACCAATATGGCGCATGGAGTAGGAGTGGTCGAGGCATGCCAACGCAGGGTGGTCCATCAAAGTTTATCAACTGGTTCATCGTTGAGCAAGTCTATACCCATAAAACCCAAACCAGATGGTCAAAAACACGATGACAGAAGGGAGAAAAAACCGAGGCAGTCCCGAGATGGAGTCCTCGGTAAGAAAACAGATAACAGAAGAGCAGATGGCCCACTAAAGACCACTCCGTCGGAGCCATCCAACGCTGAGGGAGTTAAAAACATGGGTGAGTCTACGGTCGCTAATAGCAAAGCGAAATCAGCATCCATTAGTTGGGCCACAGTGGTAGCAAGGAATATTCAGAACACTCCCCCTCTGAGTATGACACTATCCATGCTTGAAGGCAGCGAGCGCCCAAGAAAAGACTCGGTGAAGACCGGATGGAATGCACTCCGCCGTGATTCAGCCTCTAGCAAATTGTGGTGATTCGGATCTACGAGATCACGCCTGCCCTGGAGCAGCGCGGTACAGTTTCCGGACATTGGTAGTCAATCGACCTTGAGCGCTGATGCCAGTAGCACGTGCACAGCCTCCGGATACACGTCATTGGTGGGCCGTTACAGCCAATCATATACAATGCAGAGAAGAGCAATATGACGCAAGATTTGATACAATATTATTGGTGGGAACTAAGGTAGCCAGTGATCTTTTCTTGTGTACATAT